CTGGCTAATGTGATCACAGTCACTGGGCCAGTTATCTGTCAGCTGGTTTTAATTAAATCCCAGTCCTGCAGGTCAGAAACGAGAGCCGAACACGTCTGAGGAAACGTCTCACTGTGGATCTCAGACCTGTGGATTATGCACCGTGTACACGATTTATTAAACCTGATTAATAGATCAGTTTTTGCATTTAGGCCGATGATGTGCTGCTCTGCTTCCCAGTCACCCACAGTTCCTCTGCCACCCTGCAGCCGTCGAGCATTTTAGTCTCGGTCAATAATTAAACGTGGAGAGAAAGTCTCGGGTAAAAACAAAACTAAGCATCATCTTTGTGGTTAAGCTGCTCGGGTTTGAAAAGTTTCATGTTTGACTGAAATCAGGGAGTCTCTGCTGTGTTTTACTCTTTTATTTAAAGTAATGATTTGGTGTTTAAATTCTGAACCTTTCTTTGATTCCTGCTTTTAAAAAATCCCAGATTGCTGCCGTGTTTCCAGGTTCAGGGTCTCTGCGGTTCCTTCGTCTTGCAGACTGTTTGACAGCCTCTGCTGTGACCGCAGAGGCTGTCAAACAGAAAGCTCTAAGTTGGGAAGCAGCTCGCTGGTTTCACTGTAAAACGATCTCCGAGTCTCCCACAATTCCACAGAGGTCTCTCTGTTATTGGGCATCAATTCAGCGCCGTGTTTAAGGTCGTCCCCCGAGGACAGACGGACTGACAGCGGGGAAACCAGCGCTCTCACGGTCAGGTGACCCCGGATCCTTTCATTTACTCGGGCTCAGTTTGCACTGCTTAAGTTTAAAGAATAAAAAAGCTGCATTAAACCCTTCAGTGAAAGAAGCAGCTTAAGCTGGTTTAAAGTGCAGGTCAGTGTGTGCTCTCGATTAGACCTGTTAGTCTCCTCAGTTTAACAGTTTGGTTCATTTACAGAAGTCTGGAAACTAAATACTCAGTGAACATCAGCATATTCAGTGACGTGACCTCGATTACTTCTGGCTGTTAAATTGTCGCACGCTCTCGACCACTTTGTTGGACTATATAAACCAGCTCTTCTCCTGCTGTGTGCGTTTGCTTCCACTAACCTCTGCCCACCAAAGCCACGTTCACCAGAGAAGTCTTTGAAAGAGTCCCGAAGGTAAATATTTGGTGTTTGGAGCATAACTGTCAGGAAAAAGTGTTTTAAAACCATTTTTGAGACATAATCAGAAACTTTTAAAAGAATTTTCCCTGAAAATCTGATCAGTGACTGCACATGCTGTTTATCCCGGCACCAATGAAATTAAAGTTGCTGAGTGTGTGCTGCATGTCACAGCCTCTAGGGGGCGCTGGCTGGGAAAACAAAAGCAGACTTGACATTGAGCATCATTTCTGGTTTTTATTTCTCGTCATTCGTCTCCACATTTCATCGTTTAATCCTCTAGCCTGCTCATGGTGACCTCCACCTCCCTGTAATCCAACTTTGTCTTTCTATCTGTGTCTGTATTTGTTTAAATCTACGCTTTGTGCAGCATCTGGTCTCTGCAGGAGGAACTGCAACATGCTGCACACAGTGATGCAGGCCGGCGCTAAAATGTTATGATATCCTTCACTTTGTCGTCTTTAAAGGAACGGTCAGTAAATGTTATTTAGGTTAATAGAAAAAGTGAGTATGCTCATAAAAACAGATGCAACAGCATGTAGTTAAATCTGCCATTAAACTAATGCATCAACTAACAGCTTATAATGAATCTGTTAAAAACACCGTCATGTTCCTCAGTCAGACTGGAGTACCTTAGCCTGGAGGAACACAGTGCTACGGCCTCTCCCAGAGGAAAGAAAGCTGGATTTTTATCTGCCGGCAATCTGCTGACACCGACTGGTGGAGGTTTTATCCTCTAACTTTAACTTCTCTCATTTCCAGCTCATGATTTTGATTCTTGAACTTGAGCTTTGCATGATTTTTTCCGCTAAGAATAATCCTTCTTTGTCTCAGTTCATTCCTCCTCCGACTGAAACAAGCTCCCTCTGCTCCACTCTGTGTGAGGAGGTGCACCTCTGCTGCACTCTTCAGGATTATTTCACTCATCAATAACTTCTGTGTATTGATCTGTTATCTTGTAACGATGTAACCTACCCCGGTGTTGATGCTGGTGTGTGGTGGTCGCGTCCTGGTGGTGTAGAAACAAACCAAACGCTGCAGCTTCGTCCCTCTGGCGTCCTCGCTGTTTGTCGTGGTTTCCTCACATCCTTTCTGATAGTTCCCAAGAATTACCGAGCAGGCCCGTCACAGGCGCTGCGTTGAGACGACGTGTAGTCACTCTTCCAGGGAGGTGTCGGCCTGCGGCTAATGACGTGTCCGCAGCGTGGATTTATCACAGAGTGTCAATCGCACAGCTTATGACTGTGGGGCTCAGTATCAGCAGATATCCAAAGGTAAAGTGTCTGTACGCTAGCTGAGCTTAAAGTCTGGATGGATCTCCACCGTCAAGACTTTCACTAAGTGCCAAAGGTGTCACTGGTAAAACAGTCGGTGGGCTTCACCCTGTGGGGTCATGAGTGTGGGAGCCTGATGGGATCCAGCTGCTGCTGAGACTCTTCAGTTCGGAGCCAGGATGCTGCAGACGAACAGAGTTCACACAGTTGTGGAAACAAAGAGGCGACTTTGTATTTTTAGTTCTCGCATCAGCTTCTGCGCTGATATCTGAGGCTATTTTCAGTCATCAAAGGCTTTTACAGAAGCTGCAGTCAGAGAAAATCACAGCGCTCTCCTGCACTGATGTTGGCTCCATGTTGTTCTCAGTCATGTGACCGACCGGCCCACGAAGCACACTTGATGATAAATGTGATAATTCAGCCCGGTTCAGGGTGAGTCTGCCGGTTAGAGACGTTGCAGCTCCACGTGGCACTGCTGGTAGCCATGGTAGAGGCTTTTATTGTGAAAGAGCAGAGCACAGGAAGCCCCTGAGTGCTCAGAAAGAACGTAGTTTAGTTTGGACTGTTACAAAGCAGATAACACCGTCATTAAAGGCTGCAGAGGCAAAGAGCCCAGAGGCTGAGAAAACAGTGGGCAGGTTGAAAGAATAAGTTTTGATGTTTGTCTGTGAAAAGCAGTCGTGTGTTGTGCAGTTAAAGCGAGGAAAGTGAAAATGAGACGAGACGAGTGATGTTTCCTTCTGCAACGACAGTCAAGCGTGTGAGCGCTCGTGGAGGTTCACTCCCCTGCCGAGGTGGAGATCATCCAAAGTTGTTAAAGGCGGAGCAGAGAAAGGTCTGTGGGGCGGGTCAGGATGCAGGTGGGTTGCAGTGGGTAAGATGGCGAGCAGAGCTGGAAGTTTGAAGGTGATCTGCTGCCTGTCGACAGGCGACGGTCTGCAGAGGTGGAGCCGGAGCAGCTTTTATTTGATTGGTTCGGATTGTAAATGTGGACCCAATGAAAGTTTCCAGTGAGACTTTATGGCGGAGCGGCTTTTTGTTTTATTTATAGCACTCGATGTGCCAAAGCTCCAAAATAGAGGCTGTAAAGCCTCCAGGAGCCCGGAGGATGTTTGGGATTCCTCATTAGTCATGATTCTGCTTCCTCGGATCGATCCAGGCGCTGCACTCGTTTTACATTTTTACCGAGCTCGGTACTTTCTGAGGTCGTTAGAAATCTGTGTGGAAAGGGTTAACAGGCAGCGAGACGCCGCTGCGGGCTGACGGCGGGGAGTGCCAGAGATTTAAAGGCCAGTGGTCATCCCGAGGAGCTGTTGAAGTGGTGATCTGACAGTTTAGGGGGAAACATCTGTGCCGGCTGGGCGGTCAGCTGCCACGGCGAGCCAAAGAAAGCCCGCTTATTTTAGATCCGCTCGCTGTGAGCGCGTTTCGGGATGTAAAAAAAGCTCGCTGGATGCGGCTGCCAGGGCGAAGCTTTTTATAATAACAGCCTACTGTAAACATCTGAACGTGGAGTCATGATATCAATCACGCCGTCAGTCGCTGTTAGTCCCTCGCTGCAGCAGTTTGACCCGCTGAGCTCAAACCGAGGAGGTCAAAGCTTCATTATTTGAGCGACGTGCTTCAGCTTGTGGCCTCATCAGGAACGTCTGCATATAATAAAACAACCAATCATAAACATCCATACAGTGTGGCAGAAGCATGTACGCCTGAGTATGATAGCTCAGGTTAAAGTCAGCCATCGTCCCTGGAGACGATTCATAGTTCTTTAAAAACAGGACAGACCTGCTCGAACACTCACAGAGATGCAGGTGCTTTATTTTGAAAAGCTCTGCTTTAAAACTCCTGATCTGTCTGATTCTTTTACTCCTGCTTTAACAGTGAAATGAGTCACTGTGCAGGAAGATTTCCATCTGAGATTCAGTGTTTTTTGTTTGCTTTATTCTTCACTTCTCTGAATGTGACAGGTGTGTATCAGGTGACTCACCTGTGGAAACCTGATCCTGACCTATAAATGAAAGCGTGAGCAGCATTTTCTTTAATCTGTTTTAAAAGTTTTTAATGGCAGAGGAAAACCTCCAAACGTGTCACGTGCTGTACTTTTACTGAACGTTAATGTCGGCCCGATGAAGCCGTTTCCTGTGTGTCGCCTCCGCCTCGAACAAAACCCGCGGTCGTGACCCCGACGAGTGTCAGGTCGGTGTTTGTCCTCCACTCTGGCCTCCCTCGCCTGCTCCGTGAGCTCTGAGCTCAGCGAATTAGATTTTTAAGTGAAGAAATACTCAAATCTGAAAATGTTTTATGAGACAGGAACCTTTCACTTCTTATCAAAGCTTTTATTGTGAAAAATTAGTAATGGAAACTGATCAGATTTCAGCTTAATTCTGATTAAATAAAATATATTTCTACTCTAATTACACCTGCGACCTGCGCCAGGGAGAGCAAAGGACGTGCAAGCTGTTAGACAGGAAATGACAAAATAGACGGAGCCTTCAAAATAAGAGCGAGGGAGGAGTCTACCAGTCAAAGACAAATAAAATAAATGAAGCTGAAAACGACTCCATTACCAATTGCGTGTCTCTCTGTGTCCTCGCAGATATCCAGGAGTTTTACGAAGTGACCTTATTGGACAGTCAGAGATGGGTGGAGTCTTCCAAGGGGGCGGACCCCATGGCGCCCGTCAACCTATGGGACTTCTCCAGCCTTCAAAGTACAACGGTGACCTCGGACACGCTGCCCAGCCTTAGCACCAGCATCGAGGTAAGAACTCCAGCTGCTGACAGCTGCCGCTCCGCCTGTCAGGACAGGAAGTGCCACCAACACTCGGGTTCTTTTTCCTGCTTCCTGCTGCTCTGTAGCAGAGATGCCGACCGTTGGTTAAAAATAGAAAACGGTAAAAATAGATCAAACCTTTCAGACCTCGCAGGATGAAAAATGAAGCTGCATTTGATTTGCAAAGCAGCTCGATGGACAAACTGACGCCATCTGTTCCCCGCTCGCACTAAACGAGGAAAAGCAGGATTCCCGCCAGCGCCGGCTCCTCGACGGGTACAAATGGGTCGAACTCCTGGTCACAGCGTGTTTGGTTTGATTAGTTTGGGCTGATGAGCAACTCGTTTCACTGCAGCAATAATATTTCTGCTTGGAGCCTCATTAAGTGTCGGTTTTCTTCCTTCAAAAGAAAATTCACAAACACTGAGACTATTTTATCCAGAACGTTAAAATTACAGGAGCTGAAATACATTTTTGTGCTTCTGATTTCCGAAACCCTGAAACGCATAAATGCATCTTTAGCTCACGCTACGCTGAGCGGTTGTGGTCGGTCGTCTCCTAAAGGCCAAGAAAACCCCTCAGTCAGTGTGTGGATGCCATCTGTTATCACTCCTCCTGCTCTTATTTTGAAATAAGAGCTGGATCTTCCTGTCTTGTTTACCAGTTACAGCAGCCATGTCTTGGTATTTCCTGGCAGTGACAGAAACAGTCATCACTCATAAATGAGAGATTTAAAAATAGAGAATGACACGTTGGTGTTTTGGCGTTCGTAACTGGAGAAGCCAAAATGAAACCTTTTCTTTCCTGTTTACTTTTCTGGGCTTTTTTTAAATATAGACGTAACCACAGTGATGTCACCCTTTGGTTTTGTCTTCAGTCTTAGCAGTTTGGCTGCCACCATGTTGGTTTGTTTGGAGCCAGTAGTGAACATGTAGGTAGTTAAATGCTCAGTTACCTGGTAATGCTAGCAAGCTTGCATTCAGAGACATGGAGTGGTGCTAATTAATGCTAACATCCAATTTAAATTGTTACATTTCATTAAATCTGGAAGTCAGACTTCTTGGACGGTCTGTTAGTGCCGTAACCTCACTGTTGGTCAGATGATGTCATTAAAACAGTCCAGAATACCAGCTCAAGCCTGGGAGCCAGCTAGCAGCTACAACCACCTGTGTCGCCATTCACCTGTCAAAGAGGCCACGCCCCTGAAACTACAAACTGTAAACCCTTAAACGGCTCTGGAGACCAAAGCGGTTTCCGTATCCGGCTGTGAACTTTTTATTTAAAAAGTCTGTGGGAACTCACTCGCTGCCGGAGCCTCCGGTGGACATTGGAGGAACTGCAGGTTTTCTTTTGATCATGAATTAAATGTTAGCTTAATTTTTCATGTTTCGAACGAACTTTTAGTAATTATGTTCTGCAGAATTCGTTCGGCAGCACTTTCCTAGTTCGTGCTGTTTTTAACATTTGGCATTTCTTCTTAGCTGCTCTCACATTTTAACTAAAAACGTGTAATCACTGCGCCATCTGGTGGTACAAATTGGTATTGAACAAAATGAAAGTCGCGATTCAGCCTGAGCTTCTGTTTCACGCTGTGCACAGGTGTGTTGGATATAAATCTGGAGCGGCGTTTCTTCACCTTGAGTTTAAATGATGTTAAAACAGAAACTCTACCAAAGTGCTTTTAAATGTTTGACTGGGTCTGATTTTCAGCCATGAGAGCAACTGTTCAGTTTCTCTCTGCTGTACGTGACTGTGCGCCTCCGCAGCAGCTTTGAGCTAAAAGACGACGTTTGTGTTGGAGGACACGATGGCGTCAGATGTCCTTCACTAGTCCACAGGACGGTGATGATGATGATGAAGATTTAGATTAGCAGCCTGAGGAAGAACAAACTTCATGAGTTGTGCAGTTAAAGCGAGGAAAGTGAAAATGAGACGAGTGATGTTTCCTTCTGCAACGACAGTCAAGCGTGTGAGCGCTCGTGGAGGTTCACTCCCCTGCCGAGGTGGAGATCATCCAAAGTTGTTAAAGGCGGAGCTGCTGGTTTCATCGTGTGTGTGTGTGTGTGTGTGTGTGCGTGTGTGCGTTCCACTCGCTGAGGTTGTGTTTAACCTCAGGTGTGGTTTTGTGCTTCTGACTTCCTGATGACATGTTTGAGGGGCCTGATGGAGCGTGTGTGTGTGGGTGTGTGGGTGGGTGGGTGGGTGGGTGGGGAAAGCAAATATCAACTGTTTCCCTCCACCTGATTTTTATCTAAACTGTCATCAGTTACACGTCATCACCATCTGGCAGTTTGTTTACGTCAGTAATTTATTGATTGTTTGGTTATAAAACGACCAGAAAACATTAAAACTGATCCCTCGTTAGTCCCTGAATCAAAGCGAATGCATTAATGTTCGAAAATCCAAACGACGTTCAGTTTCAGGGAAAAAACAAACGATTGTTGTTGTCTGATGTTTTTAAACACGCATCTCAACAAGAAAACAAACAGAAATAATGTTGAACATCAAACTGTTATTGATTGGAAATCCACAGATTTAAGTTACACTTTCTATAATATAAGAAGAACAAATCTCCTCCAGTTTCCAGTTTTGTGCTGATCTGATGTAAACGTTTGTGAGGACGTTTAAACTTCTCACTTGAAAAACAGTCCGAGGTCACCGACGCTGAGATTTCACTCTCGTGTTGATCTCACAGTTGATCAAAGACATCATTGATCAGTTTATTATTGGCGTTATTTTACCTGCAGAATGAATCTGTGCTGCTTTTCTATTCAAACGTGTGTGTGTGCAGACCTGCTGCTCAACCCTCAAACTACAACTTGGTTTATTCCAGATGTTGTGAAGTTCCAGAGTCAATGCAGCACATCAACAGTCTGTAACAAACATCAGAAATACAACAGAGCAGCTCGATAAAATGTAACGTCACAGAACAGAAGATAAAATCACACAAAACCAAATCAAATCAAATGGGACAAAAAGTCAAATAAAATAAAGACTCGCTGAAAGTAGAACTCATGGAAAATGTTCAGTTTAGTAGAAAAAGTGACTCTGCAGGTAAAACGGGGGAAAAAGACAGAGTGAAAGTGGTGACTGATGTTTCAGTTTTCTGACGTCTTATAATTTGAAACAATCGATTGATTGTTGGTAGAAGTGAGAGATTAATGTCAGCGATCTCCATCAGTCTGCACGCTTCACATGCTTTTAAAGTTATTTTCAGTAAAGTTTCTGTTTTCTCTTCCTGAAAAACGAGAGCAGAGGCGGCAGGTTGTTTGTTTGGTGCTTTAAATCCTGAGACCTCGGTGTTTGTGCGTCTGCGTTCAGCTCAGCTGAGCTTCCGTCTGCGGCACAAACACGTCTCCAAGATGTGATTCGCGACTTTGTGGTGAACGCCAACATGTGAAACGTGAAAGCCGGCGATTCTGTTAGTGAAGCGAAAACGGAGCAGTCTGCCTCCTCTGTTTCTTTCATTCGCTCTAATCCCGTGTTTTCATAATAGCAGATGGGATCAGCCAGAAATTGGAGTATAATCCAGAAAATGTTATTTTGTGTCTTTGTATGAGATTGGTTTTTTGGGAGGGGGTTAAAGCTGAAGTCTGCAGAGGTTGCCGTGGCAAACAGCTGGAGTCTGGATGTAATGCATCATTATTCCCGTGCTGTGCGCTCGGGCAGGTGGACGGAGACGTTCATCCGCTCGCGGCTGGCCTGAGGTTAGCGTTCAGGGTTGCGGGGCAGCTGATGCACGCTCAGGATTTACTCTGACGCTCGCTATGTGAGTGAGCGGCACATCCAGGTTAAGTGGAGGTTACGGTTCTCATCCGATGGAGCTGGCCAACCGTTCCTCTCTTCAGGCAAAGCTAAGCCTGGACTTCCTGAGTGAGGCATCGGGCTTCTTGCTTTGAGGAAGACAAAAAGGAAAATGTCTGAATTTAAAAATGACGCGAGAAGCTTCTCCAGAACGTCTTTCACCTGCTTGTCTGTTTGCTCCCGCCTGATCCAGTCCGTTTGTTGTGTGAGGAGCTTTTCCAGAGCCGGACTGAGCTCGTTCATCCTGGTTTTTCAGTCCTGTGCTTTCAGCTGTCCAGGACCCGGGTTTGGGTCACATGGGTGTAAAGGTGAGCTGGTTGTTTGACCAGGCGATCAGTACTCCATCTGTATCCTCTGGAGCCAATAAACTGGCTCCTTATTTTCAGAACAGGTCGAACGGGTCACGTGACAGCCATAATGACCCCGGGAGTTTTCTGCCAGCCACCATAACACGCTGCTGCAGGTGGGGACTCGTGTCAGTGAGAGCACAGCTGGTTGGGTTTCAGTCCTTTGCAGATGCATGAACGGAGGCAAACATGCGTCAGTGTGAGGTGGACATATTTCACCTGATGATCAGCAGAGATGGAGGGCGGGACGTACGCATCATGTTTAGATCGGAGCACAAACCTGACGTTGGCTGAGATGTTTCAACCTGCTGTGTTGTTTGATTGAATGCTTTTCTTCTTCTTTCCTCTTTTTCCCGACTGTAAACGCTCATGCTCCCCCGTAGGACTCGCCCCTCCTAAACGAAATCCTCCACACGTTGGCGCAGGCCAAGCGCCCGCCTGGCCGTGACGGACAAGTAAGTACTGCCTGCTGTTGGTGGGAGGGGCTGTCGGTGTCGTCCACCTTCGCCGCATGTCCCATCCAGTCCTCGTGTGCTTTTTTTTGGGCCATCGGAGGGGTGGGGGTCAGGGGTCAGGTTCGCCCAGACGGCCTCAACGTGTCGCTTTGAGTCGTTCTGATCTGTTTGGATGAAAGTGGAACCAGAGCTGAAGTCTGAGGGTTGTTTTTAACACTGATCAATAAAACAAACTCGCAGCTCTCACCGAGGAGCCGTGGCTTCATGGTCGGCGTGTGAGCTGAACTCTGACCTGAAGCTGCGCTCCTTCAGTTTTCATCCTCCATCTTCACGTCTGGTCTCAGTGTTTAAATATTTCTGTCAGCAGGAACGCGGCGGCACGTCGAGGCTGTCTGTGCTGTGTTCAGGGGTCGTGGGTTCATCGTGCTTCATTCGTTTTGGTTCATGTTGTCGGGTCTGAACGGTACACCTCCGGTCCTCAGAGCTGCACACACAGACACACACACAGACACACACACCTACACACAGCTGTCACTGATGTGGTAAAAACTTTATTAACTGATTTACACGAACGACTTTTTGTCGAGTGAGTCTTCAGTCGGTTAGAGTTTACACATCGAATCAGGTGTGACGAGCTTTTCTTTTCACGCTGTGACCATAAATGGACAACGAGCAAAAATAAAAATGACACCATGTTTCACATGAAAACATCACAGCTAGCTAATAGATGCATGTGAGCTGTTATTCTGCAGTTATATGAACAGTTGGTGCTCAAAGGCTTCACTTTACTGGAACAACAAACCTAAAATGTAACCAGTGTTTCCAAAACAAGCTGTAAATCAAAGTTAAAGTGATATTAAAATCATTTAAAGTGTTAAACGTGGATTAAAACTGGCCGAGGGTCTCAAACTGAAGCCAGATGAAATAGATTCATTTACCCACAGCACAATAGAAACACAGTAGATTTAATAGAGCTGTTCACAGCAGCAGTAAATGTGTTTAAGAACATTTTACTGATGCTTTTAATCTCTTTAAATGATGCAGTTTAAAAATTCACTTTAAACTCAGGATACGGCAGCAGAAGTTTGTTCGTTAGCGCCGTGCAGATGTTAGTTCCTGATTTCAGCTCTGCAGCACGGTTTCATTTACATTCAAGTCCAAATAATCTTAAATTGAAGTGAAACTCTTCGATCAGTTCATGTTTATTGTTTTTGATTGAATTTCACTTCCTTATTTTATCCAAACTGAGCAAATAGACGTTCAAACGTCACTCAATTCATGTCAGCATGTCTCAGATATCAGCTGATAAAAAGTAGTGTTTGAAATGGGTCAACTTTACATTTTGAGCTGTTAGTGAGAGAGTCTGTTAAAAAACACCAGGTATGACCCTGCAGCCAGGCTGAGCGCCTGCCTGCGTGGAGCTTTTATCGTGAAGGAGCCTTGCGAGGCCTCCCCCGGACAGACTGGAGCTGTACTGGCGTTCAGCACCTTCGTGGTGGTGGTTCGTGTGGATTTCAGTTCAGGTTTCCGTGAGGCTTCGGTCCTGCGCCGCCTCTTCAGGCTCCTGTGTGTCTCGTGCTGCTTTCAAATACCATCCTCATGTGTTTCTCAGTGTTGTACGTTTCTGAGCGTCGCAGCTCGTCCGGGGGACTTTCTGACCTCACATTGCTGTGACCCACTTATGCAAAATCTACCTGCGAAGCTTCGTCCATAAGCAAACAGTATTCACCACAAGGCAGCAGCGGCTCAGAGCCTCGGCCTGGAAAGAGTTAATAATTCACACAACATGAAGCTGTGGTCTGAGGCTGCTGCTGCTCAGTGAGTCAAACCATCTAACAAGGCTCAGCTCCCTTTTTATCCCACATTGTTTCACTGTCGTCAGGCTGCAGGTGGAGAACACCTGCTGACAGGTGAGGCTTCTCAGCTGCAGTGGAAACAGACTGTATAAAACAGATGGACGTAGCGTCGTCACCTGTTTGTTAGTGAAGTCACTGAAGGGTACTGTATGCTCATTGGTGAATGACTTTCAGTCACAAGTTGTTAGCCAATGAGCATCTCCCTCTTTCTCTTTTTTTACAAACTCTAATGGGAACAACAAAATCAACACTGTTGCGTTTAATGACACCTGAAAGCAGCGACTGAGACCATGAACTCATCAGGATCAGATGATCAGGCTGGAGGGTCAGAGGAGGCGCCACCTGCTGGACATTCAGAAGAATGCACTGGCTTCATTTTGCACAGCTGGAAACGGCATCCATCTTTTATTTACAGTCTGTAGTCGGACCCCACAGAGCCACAGCATCATCGCAGGAAGAGGCGGAGACTTGGACACGGACGAACTGTGAGCGCGTCCTGTAAGACGCTCATCGACCAATAAAAAAAAAAACAAAAAAAACAAACCTGCTGTGCACCTGGTGAGCAGGTGGTGAACAAGTAGTGTTTCAGAGGCGCTTTGTGTGACAGTCAATGTGGAACAAAACTCACGTCATCTCGACTTTACCTGAAATGTTTCCACAGTGCTGAAGCTGCTCAGGCAGCCGTGCAGAGAGCAGTCACAGAGCGCTCGTATGTCCTCGTGTTCCTCAGAACAACCAGCAAAGCTTTTCACTCTGACTTTAACTGATAACGCTCGTGATGTGTGACGACCACGGCGCTGTGAGCGGTTTGAGATGTCCACACCTGAGGCAGGTGCTGCTTCTCTGCAGCTTCTCTGCAGGGTTAAACTGTTCTTTTCATGTTACTGTGAAACAAAAGTCCAGTGCTAAACACAGTTGTGGGTCACAGCAGCTCGATAAAGGTTTTTTAAACTTTTCTGCAGTGAATTATCAGAAACGGGTCAAACATGCAGGCATGCTTCTCCCTGCTGCTGCACGCAGACGTTAAACTGCTGCAGCTCATTTAAACTCTGATCGATCGCTCTGATGCTCTCAGCTGCTTGGAGAACAAGTACAAAAGCACTAATAACTATTTCTCTTCAGGGCAAACGAGCTCATCACTTTAATGTAAAGCCCGGCAAACTGTTCTGTGGAAAACGCCACTCGCATCACTTCCTGTTCTGTGTTAATGTCGAGGTGTGAAACACGCCATATGATGATGATGACACGCATGAGACGCGACGCAGCTACATGACGGATTCATGGAGCTGTGAAAGATTCCCACCTGCCAAACGCCCACGCTGCCCCATCTCCTCCTCCCCCTGCTCCTGCTGAGAGGGACACTGCTCCTCCTCCTCCACCTCCACGAGCATTTGGCGTTGAGTCATACATGTCATCAGCAGCAGTTAGCGTGTTTTCAAACCTCAAGAGGAAAAGCCGAGGCACAGTCTGACTCAGACAAGATGAGTTTGTGGTCTCTTATCGAGTAGGACGTCACAGCGCTTCAGGGACACTTTAAAACACACCGATGGTTACAGCGCAGCCACCAGTCCGTAATCCAGTTAGCCGATTGATAGAAAAATTACTCATGAATCCTTTTTATGTAAAAATGTCAGACATACTGCTGTTTCAGCTGTTTGTTTAATGTAGAAAATATCAGGGAATAGTCACATATCATATCAGTCACTATTTCACATGATTATTTGAAGAAATAACTGTTTTATTCTATCAAGTTGAAATTTATCTATAATCAAGTCTTTTTAGAGTCATGTTGCACTTTTAATAAAACGGTATTATTCACTGGTAAGTACAAACTAATTTCAGCCCAGATCGTCATCTGCAGATATCATTCATGCCTAAGGAGTGCTCAGAACCTGCCATTTAGAACCTGCAGGGGAGAAAAATAATAATTGTAATGATTTCAATCACATGACATTTACGTCATATTTGCATCAACTGTTTTGGTTTTGGTTAAAAGTACAATACCTGATGTCAAATGTAATTACTGAAAGGTAAAAATACTTGACTCAGTTCTTTATTACAGAATAAATTCATATTTTAATTAGTGTAAATTTATAATATGATAAATAATTAACTACATAATTTAAGCTGCTCCAAAATGTATTATTTAATGTCTTTGTTTATTTTTTTAAGTGTTAATAAATACGCTGGTCTGCAATTACGCAATCATTACAGTACAGGTATTTAGTGTTGCATTCAGATACACTCTGAAACTATTTTTCCAGTCAAAACGCGTTTGATTGATCGGTTTAAAGTGAAAACTTGACTGGATAAAATTATATTAATAATTTCTATCTCCTGTAACCTCGCTAACAAACAATACAATACACTGGTTTTAATAGTCCCATGTTAATCTTTTAACCTCATAACTTGGAGGGAGTGGGTTTTTCCCAAAGCGCCTGAACGCAGCTTGTGTGTGTGGAGGAGCCGGGTTCGCTGAGCGCTGCTCCTGCTGAGCTCCGGATACGGTATGAAGGAGGACCGGGGGAGGGATGAGGTGGCTCTCCGGTGAGCGCACTCTCTCTCTTGGGCAGATTTATGACCGCAGTCGGTCGGTTTGTGAGTGAATGTGAAGCATTTATGAAGAGTGGCGCCTCGCTGGAGTTCGCTCAGCAGGAAGGACGGACGGAGATGAGATGCTGATGTTCCCGGGCTTCACTCCCGGCTCGGAACGATGGACTGCATTTGTATTGTCACCACTAAGGTAACGCTTGAAGAAAGCTCATAAAATACCGACACACGCACACACTGGAGGGCGAGTTTAGTTAAGAGTGAGTCGGTGTTAAATTCGGCTTTCATTACATCATTCAAACGGCTTTTTAATTAGGTGAAAATTCACTTTTTTCAAGGGTCCGCGCCTCATTCCCGCCGTTGGTCCCCATTAAAACAGCACCACTGATGAAGTGGTTAGTATCGATTTGTGACGATACATTTATAAAAGTGAGATTTCGACCAAAAATAGTGCTACCTCCTAATAGGTGGTATGTTGTCATTAATTGTGAGTCGATGGTCAATTCGGCTAGTATATTATAATAAAGACGACTTTTTATTCAGTAAAAAAACTTACTTTTCTGAAGGGTTCGCACCTCATTCCAGCCTGTTATA